CTTCTTCTTCTTCTTCTTCTTCTTCTTCTTCTTCTTCTTCTTCTTCTTCTTCTTCTTCTTCTTCCTCTTCCTCTTCCTCTTCCTCTTCCTCCTTCTCCTTCTCCTTCTTCTTCTTCTTTTTTGAGCAGAAAGGTTGGTTGACACTGGTAAAGCCCGAGTTCAAAATCTGGCTCTGCTGTGTCTTTGTTGAATGGCCTGTGATAAAGTGACCTTTTAAGCCTCAAACTTACTGTCTGCAAAATGGGACAGTAGCCCCTTCCCAGGGCTGTCACTTGACCTTGGGGATAGAGTGGTTTGTGTTGGGAGCATTTGCCAAAGTAGACAAGAGGACAAGAGGCAGCTCCTGTTATTACTGACAGCGAAGCCTTAGCAACTGCCAGGCAGGGAGGGTAAGGGTGAGCTTTTGCTGTTCCTGGGTTATGGGCCTTCTTTTATGCTCCCGAATTCCTTCCGGGGAGACAGGCTAGCTTGGAATCTCAGGAAACTCTGGGATGTGTCCTGGTACCTCCCAGCTGTCTCCCAGCTGTAGGGGAGGACTACAAAAAAAAAGAGGAAGAGAATTCCAGTCAGGTGAGGGGACAGAGTCACCGTGACAGCCTGGGGAAACAGAGCACAAGTTTGGGGGACCAAGAAAAGGAGCCACATCGGCAGAAATGGGTGGTGAGAGTTTGAAATCCCAGCCGGAGAGGTGGGGTGAAAATCGTCCGAGAGGGGTGGGTACAGGATGGGAACCTGGTCTCTGCCCAAGGTGTTTTTAAAGGAAGTGCCTGGGAGCTGCTGGCCTGGAAAAAAATCACACCCAGAGGGCTTGTGCCAGGCAGAACGGGTTGCCCCACTCCCTTGCGGGGAGCCGCCTGCCTCAGAAACTCTGGCTAAGCCAGGTAGCCCTGCCCTTGCAGGGGGGACGGGGACACTGGCTCCTCCCCAGGTTACCCACCTGCTCCGAGGAGTATCCTCCTATGACCAGGAGACAGAGGTATTTGCTGAGATGTGGGTGCAAACGGGGGATCTGTCCCCCTGTCTGTCCATGTGTCAAGTGGGAAGCTGTGCCCAGGGCCACCCGTGGTGTCTAATCCGTGGCTCTGTGCCCTCGCAGCTAGACGAGGAAGAAGAGCGAAGGAAAAGGCGCCGAGAGAAGAACAAAGTGGCCGCAGCCAGATGCCGGAACAAGAAGAAGGAACGCACGGAGTTTCTGCAAAGGGTGAGCGGGGCGGTGGTGGAGGGGAGGCACCTTGGCCTTTGCAGGGCCCATGTGCTCTGTAGTCAAGTGCATCATCAGACTCCGCAACCCAGAGAAGGTAGAAAGATCCATGTTTTCCCCCCCACTGAGCTTAGATCCTGGGTACTGATTGACTCAGTGGTCCAAACCCAGCAGTATCTATTTTGGCCCCCGTGGCTACCACGGTATTAGGGTACATGCTAATGAAGTAGGATGTTGGGGCAATGTCATGTCTGTGGGCAGTGGACGCAGCTCCTGGGCTGGCTACTAGGAAAAAACTCATTTATTGTAATGTCTCATCTACTGTGCATCCCCACTGTCTAGCACTTAGTCCCACTGAAGGTGACCTCTGAACTCTGTTGCTGCCTCCAGGGACCAGAGGTCTGGTCTGAATGTGGGGGTCAGCCTCCATGTACTGCCTTTGCCTCCCACTACCAACTGCCTTTTTACTACTTGTGATCTGCCTAGTAGGGTGCTTGCTCTTTCTTCCCCTGGGTCCTGCGTCTCAGCCCCTGCTGTCTTTGTCTCCAAAAATGGCGGCCCTGAAGAGAGTGGAAAGCTGGATAGGCAGTCCCCAGGCAGTCCCACGGTGGTCAGCCACACTCCACCTCATCACTGGTTTGCTCCTGAACAGTAATAGCAATGCTATATGCTAACTTTTCTTCCACGAGTCACCATAACGATGAACTGTAGTTGTGAACATTTGCAAAGCCAGGCACTGTGATCTCATTTTGTTGACACAGTAGCCATGAAGATAGGGAGCTTCGTGGTTGGTTCGCTTTCTGCGGGCAAGGAAGGCACTATGAAGGTGGTGACCCACCCAGGTCTCTCAGCCAGCAAAGGGTCGGACTGATGCCAAAGCCCGCTACTAGCCTCCAAACCTCTGGCTCTGGTCTTCAGGCTCCAGGGGTACGTTAGGCATACTGTTAGGGGGGCAGAGCAAGAGTGGACATCGTCCTTCTTGCTATGAAGAGGTAAGGCTGGATCGGCCTGATATTTTCCAACACTGGGGGTTATGGCATCATCTCAGTCTTGCTTTTCTGGGGTCCCAGGTGTGAACAGTGTGGGCCATGTATAGACCTCTCCTTAGCTGTGGGCACCCTGGGCAGGACAGTGCCTATCAACAGGACTGAATCGCCTACTGCTGGGAAGTCTTAAAGTGAGGGTATTGTTCAGCAGGTTCGAAGATACAGGCCTTAAAGAGGAGGGGAGTGTTCTGTGATTTATGTCCATCCATCGAATACCCGATGGACAGAGCTAGGAGGTGCAGTCAGGCTTTTTAGGAGAAGCTGCCCATGCAACCCCAGCTTCTTGGAGCGTGTCAGACAGCGGGCAAGATGTGCCCACACCAGAGGCTCTCAGTGACACAGCAGCACACTAGCTAGCGAGTGACAGGTGGATGGCTTTTTAGCTACTAACACTTGCTAAGCACCTACTGTGTGCCTAGATAGTCGGTGCCAGGTGAACTTGTCAAACACCTACTGTGCGTCATGCATTTCACGTGGTTACAACATTTTAATGAGGTAACATTAATTATTTCCACTTTAGAAATTGGCCTGTAAGTTCAGAGAGATCAAGTTGTTTGCCCAAGGCCACACTGCTAGCAGGTGGAGGGCAGAGACTCATCTATCTTTCTGTCTAGCCGGTGATAACCAAGGGCTCCCTGTACCATAGGTCCATGGGCCCCGTTCTCAGTGGATAGCGGATGGCAAATGAGGAATGGTAGCTAGTGAGGAATGTTGTTTCAGGAGCCCAGAGTGCTGTGGGGACATCCAATGCTGCTGTACGGGGCCCCACCCGAGAATGGACTGAGAAAACCAGTCCATTGGTGAGACAAAATAGGGGAAGGCAAGGCTGGGCAGTGGTGGCGCTCTCGGGAGGCAGAGGCGGGTGGATCTCTGTGAGTTCGAGACCAGCCTGGTCTACAAGAGCTAGTTCCAGGACAGCTAGGACTGTTACACAGAGAAACCCTGTCTCAAAAAACAGAACAAAACAAAAGGGGGTGGGGAGTAAGAATGAAGAATGTGGGTTTGAAGGGGGCATCAGAAGCAGCACATACGAAAGCAGGTGCTGCTGTTTAAGGATGTGTTCAGAGGATTAAAAAGAACCTTATCAGTGTAGCTGGAGGTTAGCTTCCCATATAGGACATAAGGACAGGCAGACCCAGAGCCTCATTTTTAAAGATATCCTACATACTGGCTCGTCTGAAATTGTCCAGTGTATCCCTCTTGACCTGCCCCCATTATTAAGACACCTTCTTCCCCTCTCATGAGTGTCCCCATTACACAATGCTATCTGTGGTCATGGGGAACCACGACAGGATGCAGGAGGAGAAAGGCACCAGCCCATCAGAGGAGTCCACTGGATGCAGGGCAGTCCGCTGGGTTGGGGCAGATGAAATACTATTGTGTTGTCCCCGTAAGAGATGTGTCTTCCACGATGGAGAAACCTATGTGAGCGTGGATCTGGAGAGCAACACCATGTGGGTTCCAGCCTAGTCCCTCTTCCCTGGACACACCTCGCCATCTGAGGCCCTCAAGGAGAAGTCTGGATGTGACCACTGTGCCGGCCATGCCTGCAGACCCGAGTGGCTCGCGGAACGTAGTTTCTAACCCTCACCCCTACCCTCTGGACACTGACGTGCACCAAAGAGAGACGACCTCTGAGAGAGTTCGCCTCTTTAGATCAGCCAAGGCCTGAATGTGGGCAGGCACAGGCCTGATGGGTCAGTTCACATCCCACAGACCCTGGGCCTACCCCAAAGCCTCCCTCTACAGCCTAAGGTGTCTCTCTGCTATGATGCTGGCTGCTGCTGTGTCGCTATACCCAGCACTAGGTCCTCCGGCCCTGGAGGCAAGGAGACCATTTTACATTCCCAAGATACTCTGTGCTCTCCCTGGGTGCTTTCCTCCCGATAGTCACATTGACCCTGGAAGGATGAGAAGGGCCCCCTCTGCTGGCAGGTTTCTGAGGGATGAGTGGGTGACCTCCCATGGGGAGAGCTCTTCACAGTAGCTAGCAGACAGCCAGCAGTTAGCCCAGACTCAAGCTGCTTCCCAGCCCTTAGAAAAGTTGATGAAACTCGCTTTTATGTCCCCTAGAGCATCTTAAAATATAAAGTCAGGGCTGGATGAGATGGCATATGCCTTTAATCCCAGCACTCAGAAGGCAGAGGCAAGCGGATCTCTGAGTTCAAGGCCAGTCTGGGCTACAGAGCGAGCTCCAGGACAGCCAGGGCTACACAGAGAAACCCTGTCTCAAAAACCACAACAACAAAGAAGAGGTTAGTGATGCTGTGACAGCCAGAACAAGTTGCCCTAAACCTTACCTGTTTTTTGTGACACAGATGTCCACAGCAGGGATTGGATCTCCACTGCTGGTTCGGAGGCAGTAGATCTGTGTGGTGTTGAGTGCTCGGTTGTATTTTTCCATTAGTTTTTTTTTTTTTCTCTTGTTTTGGAATTGGAAGACCGGGACAGGGTCTCATAGGGACCCGACTGGCTTCAAGCTCATTGAGAATCCAAGACTGGCCTTGAGCTCCTAACTTCCTGCCTCCAACTTCTGAGGGCTTGAAATACAAGCTTATGCCACTATATTGAGTTAGCCATGTCCAGCTTAAACTTCAGGCATATTGTAACCAAGGCCAAACTTCCACTGTAACCAAGGCTCAACTCCTTCCAGGCCCCATTCGGCACCCTCCAGCCGAGCTCCTTTCTCAGGCTCCATTCTAGTGTCCATGCGGCTGTGCCCCTCTGCCCTGCCTCCTCCGTTCTCCAAGCCCAGGCGGTCCTCAAGATTTGCTGAGTTGACCCTGAAGCATCTTTATCTTCCTGCCCAGAGGTTAAAGGGAGGCTCCCTGAAGCCTCTCTAGCCCTTTGGTTTCCACAGTGCTTTCTCTGTGGGAACTCTCCTAATCCTGGGGATCATCACCTCTCAACGGACAAGATAACTTGCTTTAGACTGAGTCTAAGCCTACAGGGTTTGCATAGCTGCCCTGTGGCTCTGTCTTCTCTGCCCTCTCCACTGTGTACCCAACTGAGTCTTAGAGAGCAGAGCGCAGTGGTCCCTGGTTATCTGAGGGTTCTTACCCAGACGCCCTTCCCTGCCCCCTCAACTATCTGAAGGCCGCTCCTCACTCTGCTGCTAGCAATATCTGTTGGTCTTCTGCACTCAGAATTGCTGGTCATTTTGGGGGGGGTCTTGCTATGTGCTGAATGGACACCCCTCAGGAACCATAGGAGGAGCAACTCACAGGCTTTGGATTCCCCCAAGTGTTTATCGCCAGGGCAGGCCTAGGCACATCCTCAGAGGTAGGTAGATGGCCCAGAGGCTTCTCAATACAATGGCTGAGGACAATCCGAAGATTGTGTTAGCAGCTTAGGTTGGAGGAGGTGGGGAGGATGGTGGAAACACTAGCCACCTCTCAGAGTTCTGAGAAGTGTGAACCAGGCCTGCATTCCAGTCTTGTCTTAGCCTGTCCCAGTAAAAGCCACCATAGACACTTTTTTGGAGGTGGGGAGTTTCCCCCTTAGCATTCTTTTCTCCATTTTGAAACTGTTGCTTTGGGGGTATGATCCTAAAGCCTGCCTTCCTCAGCTCTTCTGAGCTCTCTGGGAGCCCATGCAGCTACCTCAGAGATGAGCACGAGGAACAATCCCGACCTGGCAGTGTGAGGAAGATGCCCCCCTCGCTGGAGGGGTGGGGACTCCACGGAAGGCCCAGAGTCTCAGAGGGAGGCTGCCCCAACTGCACCCCGCTGGGCAGAAGCACTGGTCACACCACTTGCTCTGTGACTAACACAGGCCACTCAACGTTGGCACCATTGGTGTTTTGAACCGGAATGTCCTTGTGAGGGCTGCCTTGTGTGTCACAACCACAGATTTTTATTCTCCATCCCCGCCTGCCAGTTACGCTGCCTCTGCCTCGAGAGAGCCAAACCCTTCTCCACACCTGGGGACAAGGTCGTTTCCACGGAGAGCTCGCTGGCCTGAGGCTCCTTCGTTCACGTGTGAGGAGAACTCGCAGTTACGGGTGTAACTGAAAATCAGAAAGGCCCATTGCTGTGTTCTCTGGCCCTACTGTGATGATCCCACTGTGTGAGCCCCAGGCCTACACCAGGCATGCTTGTCACCTCTCCCCACTGTGAACACGCAAGCCCACACCCACACCCCATCACACCCTCAGCATCCCTTCCTCTCCTCAGGGCTGGGAGCGTGTAGGAAGTCTCATCTGAGCTCAGTTTGAAACCTCGTTTGGGGTCCAGCAGGTTGCTTGTCGATTGTCTCTCTGTGGGCAAGACTCCTAGATTCTGGGGGATCCTGAGGGAAGAGGGGAAAGTTCTAAGTAATTACAAGCTAATGGCCAGGAGGCACACGTTGGAGGAGGAACGGCCCACACTGGGTTTATCTATCCCATCGGGACATTTTCCATGTAGCAAAGCTCTTGGTTTTGTGCTGCCACGTGTGGGCCACCTTGGACTACCCTTCACGGACCTACTCCAGCATTACTTGGCCTCCGTTCTTGGCCTCCCCCACCACACACACACACATATCTTTTTTGGGTGCAAAGATCTTGTTGCAGGGGAGCATTTGGGTATGTTTTTTAGTCAACAGCAAGGAGGCCACGAGGCTGGAACAGATAGAGGGAAGGGAGTGAGAAGGGTTCCGAGTTGGACTACTCCCCACATATCATTTGGACCCATCCTGCTGTGGCAAAGGCCATTACCGTGTGACAGGGCACTGCCTGCAAAAGGTCACTTACCCCCAGATGCTTCTGTGGGACTGGCAGGCAGAAAACCATGCCAGCAGGACAGGTGCCGGCCAGAGTGTCTGGGTACTCCTAGGGAGCAGGCTGGCAGGGGCGGCTGACGGTGTGTCTCTGTCTGCACAGGAGTCAGAGAGGTTGGAGCTCATGAACGCCGAACTGAAGACCCAGATCGAGGAGCTGAAGCTGGAGCGGCAACAGCTTATCCTGATGCTCAACCGCCACCGCCCCACCTGCATCGTGCGCACAGACAGCGTCAGGACACCCGAGTCCGAGGGCAACCCGCTGCTGGAGCAGCTGGACAAGAAGTGACTGAAGGCTTGAAGGAGGCATCAGAGGATGGGGAGGGGGGGTGGCAGAAGGAGAAGGGGTGATGGAGGCCTCCCCCTGGGCGCATGACAGACTCTACAATGAGGCTTGGCATAACTGGCCTCCAGCCGGCTCCTTTCCGAAACTCAGCCCAGCCACGCGAGAGCAAGAGCAGACTGAAGAGGGACCAAGCGACGAGACCAAAGTTGACCCGCAGGTAGGGGCTGTCGTACTCCAAGGCCCAGCTTGAAGGGCACCTCAGCTAGAGAGCTGCCCAGTCAGGTAGCCTCCTCAGGCATGCCTCTGGCCTCTCTGCTGAGATCCCTCACCCAAAGGACTACCGAGCAACCGAGAAAAGCCATGCGTCCCAAACACGGTGTGGCCAAGGATGGAACTCAGCGTGGACTGCAATCCACCCTCCCCAGCCCTGCCCAAGCCCGGTGGAAAGGGGTGCACTGCGGGGCTGTGATGGCCCTGCCCAGGTGGCACAGCCTGGTGGCCCTGCTGGAGTTTGCTGTGGCACTGAGGCGCGGGCGCCCTCCCAAAGCACACACTCAGTCGATGAATGTTTACAGACTGGCTGTCCTGGCGGGGCTTCCAACTGCACACCTTTTTTTTATACTTTCTTTTTTTTTTTTAAATATTTTTTACAAAAAAAGGATTTTATACGAGCAATATATATATGGATTTCTATAATCACTCGATGTGACACAGTACAAATATGCTATGGTCTGTCGTTAAGGACATCCACCCACCGGTTACAGCCGTTGTAATTCCTAAGTACTGTAGGCTCTGGGTGTTGAGGGGTGGTGGCCATGCGGTTGGGGTGCATTTCCATCCTTGTAAACCCTTCCTAGTACTCAGTCCTGTATCGCTCAGTAAACATTGCTCTTAATTACTCAGCTGCCTTGAGTGGTGTCTGCCCAGGGAGAGGGCATGCCCAGGGCAGGAGGCGTTTGGAGAAATTGCCATAGCTGCCTTCTCAGGTAAGCCTGAATATGCCCATGTCACAGATGAGGAGGCCAAGGCCTACAGAGGTTAAAGAACTCCATCCATACCATTTTGAGAGTACTCGCTTCATTTATTTAGGCCAAAACTTTTTAATATTTATTTTTATTATTTTTAATTGTGTGTGTGTGTGTGTCTTTGTATGGGCATGTGCAGAGGTTAGGGAATTTGGATCCCTCTGGAGCTGGAGTTAGAGGCTCTTGTGAGCCACCTGATGTGCTTGCCGGGGACCGAACTTGGGTCCTCTGAAAAAGGAGTATGTACCCTGAACTGCACAACCATCTCTCTTCAGCTTCCACAGAACCTGCACCCTTGAGTGTGCCAGGCACTGCAATGAACGGAACCTTTGCCGGGGAATAAACAAACCTCGGTCTTGCCCCATGGAGCCCACGCTGGGGTCATCTTGTACTTGCTAGCTTCAAACCCAACACTCTTCTTCATCTGCATGGCAGCTTTGTCAAAGGGGCAGCCATTGGCTGCAGTTCATGGATGGGGATTTGGAGACCCAGGGAGACAAGATGAAGCCACCACTTGTTGAAGCCCTCACTGCATGACAAATGTGAGGGTACATTTACTTCCTATAATAGCACAGAACATATCCCCCTTTCAGACAGATAGCTTAACTAAGGCTCAGAGAGGGCACATGACTTACCCAGGGTCACTCAGCTCACAAGAAACGGAGCAGGTATCGGAACTCCACCTCCAGAGACACATGGTTTTCCCATCACCGGTTGTCTCTGTTTGTCCTTATGGATGAATGCCGCACTCCTGGGAACAGGAAGTTTAGAGGCCACCATTATAGATATAATTTGGGAGAGAGCTGTAGACACTAGAGAGTTCTAGGTTGGCCCCTGATGGTGTAGTGAGCCAGCTCTCCCAGCAGAGGTGTCCATGACCTAGAGACACATATATCTCTCATCTCCACAGTCAAATTTTCTGTCCTGCAGAATTGGGGCAGCTCAATGCCATTCATACACCAGATGCCACTTGCTCCACACGTGACAGTGTGTAAGGCACAGCTCAATGTGCTATCTGCTTCTGTGAGGGTTCGGCCAGGCCAACAAGGTGGTTGCCATCAGCACCCTTCCACCCGGAGGCTCACCAAGCTTAAAGACCCCAGCTCGAGAGAAGCGGGATGGGCGCAGACTCCACGCTGCTCCTTCCTGGAAATGTGTTTCTTCTGGGGCCGGGGAACTGCTTGGTGTTGAATCTTTGTGTCGGTGACCTTGAACGGCCTCTCAATCATCGACGAGGCCTCTGGGAGGGATGGAAATGGAAAATAGGTCGCTAATAAACAGTTGGTCCCTCTCTTCTTCCTCTTGTGCTCCCTGCATCTGACTTGCCTGGTGTGGTCGCTCTACCGTAGAGCCGCAGCCTGGAGACAGAATCTGGCCAGCTCCCTGTCTGACACGACAGCACACAGTAATAACCTGTCACCTGGGTTTCTTTAACACTGTCCAGCCAGGAGAGTAAGGAAAGTGAGAATTTGTAAGAGCCCTTCAAGAGGCCTGTAGATCCCCCTGCAGGGTTGCTGTCCACCCCAGGCTGTGGCTTCTTTAGTTTCCTGCTAGGAAGCTAAGACCTGGACTTTCATAGACCCAACCCATTGGGGTTTTGTTTGTTTGTTTTTGTTTTTGTTTTTCAAGACAGGGTTTCTCTGTATAACAGTCCTGACTGTCCTGGAACTAACTCTTGTAGACCAGGCTGGCTTCGAACTCACAGAGATTCGCCTGCCTCTGTCTCCCGAGTGCTGGGATTAAAGGTGTGCGTCACCACCGCCAGCCTGATCCAGACCAATGGTGTGAACTTCTTACTGTTCCTGACATGGTAGCTTCCTCCTTCAGTTACACTCTCCGGCTTCACCACCAGAGCCAGCTCTAGGGTGTCTCCTGTGTGTCACACACTGTGTGTTTCAGCTGGTTCACACGATTTTTCTGGGAGGTCCATGCAACCATCTCAGAAGGACAAGGCAGAGAGAGGAGGGACCTCGCCCAAGGCCACAGACCTGTTAGGTAGTGGCAGGTGCTATTCTTGGCTCCTCTAGTGGATAACAGCTGGGCCTGAGCCTCCCTGGGAAAGGAAATGGTCTGAGCTTAATTTGTCTGCGATGAGACCTCAGCTGCCAGGGCATCGCGGCAGCAGGCAGAAGTGATGGCGCAGAGCCTCATGCCTTCACAGCACACACCGGGTCGCCAGCTCTCATGCCCGTCTATAGAGGAGAGCTTTGTGTTTCCTTATCTGTAACATGGGACAGTAGGACCCTAATCATTTTTATGGGGATGTTCTCAGGACCAAAGAAGGAATGGAGGTAAGTGAGCATTATCCTGCCCTCTGTTAGAGAGGCTACTTGGTATTTATCACAAAATTATTTGACTAGCTTTGAGTCTCTAAAGGTCAGCTGCAGAGTTTGCATTCTGACCAGGTCTTGTCGTGTGATGTGATAGAAGCCTGGGACCCAAGGCTCCTGGGCTCCCAGCTGTGTTGGGTTCATCATTCCCTCCCTGAATGTCCAGGATGAAGCAATTGAGTTGCTGTAGTCACAGCCTGAAAGACAGGTGAGACACATTTGCCATCACCAGAGAGGCAGGAACCAGAATGGGACGGTCAGGATGGCCAAAGGAAGCTTCCATCCTCTGCAGGTGGGACTCTGGGAGAGCACTGTCTATTGCGGTGCATTGACCTGTGGTGACAAAGCAGTTTTCACTCCTGAGACTGTTCTTGGGGGAAGCTCTGTCACAGGCTCCCCAAAACATCCAAGAATCACCACTGAGGGTGCTTGTGCTAAAATAAAACCAGGGGTCACCTAATCGCCGTGGATGTCAGGCTGGACAAACAAATGATGGTGTTTCACAGAATCGCGTGTTAGTCCTTAGAATGAGCTCCTACTACCCCCATGGTTAGCCATCTATCCACTGGGATGAATCTCGGAAGCAGTGGGGAGCTGGAGGACATGGGAGCAGATACAGAAGGGTGGAATGTGTGGCATGTTTCTCAACACGTAAATGGATACGTTATTAAGGACACACAGAGATGGTAGCAGACAGAGCAGCAAATTCAAGAATGCTATAAATACCCAAACCAGGAGCTGGGGTTGGCGCGGGGTGGGCAGGAACCAGCAGGGGATTCTCCAAGGGTAAGTAGGACACCGGGTTTCAACTGTGCGTGTGACTGTTTCTTCGCTTTTAAGCATGACCATCAAATGTACAGTAACTCCAGATTCGCCAGAGGTGGGGTATGTGCTCAAGGGCACAGTTTATATTCCTTTTCCTCCTTTCTCTGGTTCAAGTTTCCTGATAAAAAGAGCAAATCCCAATTCAAATAGAAGGTTTGGGTTTTTCCCTCCCTATTATTTCCTTAGCAAACTCAGGAAATAAAAGCCACTCTGAAATTTCAACAGATTGCAACACTTGGCTCTGACTTTATGCAACTTCAGTTGCATGCCTAGAGGGAAAGAGAAGCACTTCAGAGCGCGTGCGTCTAGTTGGCCTTGTCCTGGGGAGGACGCTCTGCGGGTATTACCCTGGAGAGATGCCTCTGCCCTGGCTCAGCAGCTCCTGATGCCTGAGCACTTGGGTGGCAGCTAAGGCGCATTCCAAGTTAATCCCTGCCCCCTCGATGCTCTCCTTCCCTGCTGACTCTGCAAACCAAGACTCCACTCTGCCCCTTCGGCAGGGAAAGAAGAGGGTGGGGGCAACCTTTGAAAGACAGAACTCAGTGGGTCCTCGTAGAAACCCACTCACTGCTTCTTGCTGTTGCTGTGACATTACACCGGGTGAAATGACTTCAAGCAACACATATTTCATTATCTCATAGCTCTGGATTCCAGAAGTGTGAGATGCTTCTCACTGGGCTAACGCTAAGGCATTGACAGGACTGTCCCTTCTGGAGACTCGGGAGAATCCATGTTTTTCTAAAATCACAGTCCGTCCTCTCCCATTCCAAAGCCAACAATAATAGCTACACATGTCCTTTCATGCCCAAGCCCCCAATAGTGACTCTTTTTCTTTTCACGTCTGTCTTTGTTTGGTGTGAGCGTACACGTTCATGTGTGTGGACAGAAGGAGGCCAGAGGTCTACGCTGATGTCTCCTCAGTCACTCTCTGTCTGACTCCTTGAGACTGGATGTCTCACCAAGGCTGAATCTCACTGTTCTGCTGGAGTTGCTGGCCTGCCAGCCCCCAGGATTCTCCTGTCTCCGCCTCCCAATGATGGATCACAGGCCTGTGTAGATGTGTCTGTCTTTTTATGTGGATGCTAAGGATTGAACCCAGGGCCTCCTGCTTGCACAACCCTGAGTTCACAAACTGAGCCACCTCCCTGGGCCCCTTCTACTGCCTTGTAAGGACCCTTGTGATAACATTGTCCTCACCGAGTGTTGACTGAGTTTTCTGTCCTACCCGGTTCCCGCAGTCGTTAAGTCCCAAAGAAATCACCAGCGGTCTACGTTAGTTATAAACTGATTGGCTCATTAGCTCAGACTTCTTATTAACTCTTATAACTTATATTAGCCCATTATTCTTGTCTTTGTTAGCCATGTGGCTTGGTACTGAAAGACCCCCGAGGGATGTCTTCCTTTCGAGAGAGGCCCCCGTACCCACAAATCAAACGAAACCACACTTATGGATGCAAACAGCAAGAGGTTTATTCGAATACACAGGTACCTGGGGCGACAAGGTCTCTCGGAAGACTTGCGCGCCCGTCAGGCTGGGGTGAGGGGTTTTTATAGGAGAGCAAAAGCGCGGGAACAGAAGTGAAAAGCGTGGTTATGGGGATTCATTCCATTGGTCAATTCAAATAAGGCTAAGAGTGCACGCTCAGTGGCAAATTCTTGACCTTTCACCTAAATTCCAAGGAGGGGGTTGTCCAGGAGCTTCACCTAAATACCAAGGAGGGG